TCTCAGAGGACGCGAGGACAGATATCAAAAACGAGGACTGTCCTCCTAAAACGAGGACGTCTGTGCACATTAACTGTAGCCATTGATTAAAGCAACAATGGTATGTAAGCCTGAATTTAACGCAATACGTCGTATCGTTTGATCTTTCATATTCATATTTAATATGTAAGCGACGATTCATCTGTGGTTGTTTTTTTAAACTTTGAAATAACTTTGAAACGGAGTGTGTTTTGTGCATGCTGCGAAGAAGTGAACATTTCCATATTCCAATAAAGTCATTACAATATTATCACGTGAATAGCATAAGGACAAATCGTGAAATTTGAATAGCTGTATTTCCATATTCAAATAGCCACGTCGGGTGAACTCCACTCAACACTTTAAGAGTGGAAAATATTTGCTTAAATTTGCAATTCAATGTGATCCAACTGTGGTATTTTTAAACCATCATGAGCATCTGGTATTTTCGATGCGATCTATTCGATGTGAAAGGCAAAATTATGGACAATTCCACCAATGTACGCGATAATATTCTTTGCATTTATAATCTTCATTGCACGTGGATTAAATTATACCGTTAATATATTGTTTGCACTGAGTATATAAGAAGATGCGTTCGATTCGTATGTCCATCAAACGGTTCATCAATTCTTATCAATTGATACGTTTACAATAAAATTTTGATAGTTCGAAGCTGGAAAAATGCTGAGTCGAAGATCTTTCACGCTGCTGCTCATTGGCTTGGTCTTATCCGAGGTGCGTCGATAATTTCAGTCACATTTTTGTCATCTTAAGAATTTTCGTCCATTTATTTGGAATTTTTTCATTTGTAAATTTTGCACCGAATTTGGTACATCGAAATAGTTTTTTTTTTGACGTTTTGATTTGACCATTTTTGTCAATTTTTTTGACGATTTGACGGTTAATTTTTCAATTAAGGAAAAAACAGTTTTCTCAATCGAATGAAAGCCATTAGAAAACCATTAAAATCTCATCCGTTGTTCCCATTCCAATTAAATCACTTTGTTTTATTTACATAGTTCTTAAGCGTGGAAGTGAGTGGGGGGTTAGTAGAAGACCGAGTCAAAAAATTTGAAGATCTCGGAAAGGAAAACGGTTCAAAGACTGTATTTCTACCTCCAAGAAAGCCAGATGCCACACCTGTTGTGATGAATTCGGCTTTTCAAATCGTGAAAGCGAAAGCGAAAGCGAAAGCGAAAGTTCCGCAGCCGACCAAACCTGCAGAACAACCAGACGGTAAGATTGGAGATTCATTTCTCCGTGAAGTTTCACTCACAAATTCCCTATATAAAACACTTTTTGATGTATGGAGTATATAACATGAAGAATAAAACATGGGTGGATTGGTTCGGTGTCTATGTCTACTCTGATCTCTGATCATTGTTCAACGTGGTTTATATGATATGCGATATATATTTTTTGGTATCCAGATAAAACACAGAAAAAAACGCAGAAAAATGAAAAAAATTGATTAATGAGCAAAATATTGGGTGAATGAGGGTTCTGTTGTTCGATTTTCCCAAAATAATGGCAATTTATCTTGACCGAATCTTCGAAAAGTGTATATTTTCTGGTACCTCACATACGGTACATTTAGGAGATAACAAAGAGAGACAGAAAATTAATGCATAATATCTTGTTCTAAATATTATACTAGTAGCACCGTATACCAAATACCAATTAATAAAAAAAATCGGAGGGTGGTTAGAAAGGAAGTACAAGACCAAACGAGCTATGATGCTATGCATGCATACGTTAAAATGCGTTAATACAACGCAACGCATACTCGTCAGCAACTGACGTTAGTTAGTGCTGATGACATCAGCCCATAACACGCTCTGTACATAGGACATAAGACATTTTCTTTCACTTCACTTCACTGATCTATTTTTTTTTTCAATTTTCAGTGAACAAAAAAGACGCAAAACAAATGGCAGCTTTGCATTATGCTGCAGAGACTGGTAAATTTGAGCATTTATGTTTGAAAAACATGTTTCGTTCGATCTATTTCATTGATCTGAATTATTTTTTAGGTGATGCGAAGGAAGCTCAAAAACTAATCGACAATGGAGCCGACGTCAATATTGAGAATGAACTGAAAATGACACCTCTTCATTTTGCTGCAATGGAAGGTAATGTTCAATATTTATTTTCACTAAATGTGATATTGGTTGGATCCTTTTCATTGATCTGTATTATTTCTCAGGTTACAGGGATGTCATTGAAGTGCTTCTCAAGAATAAAGCCAATGTTAATATTAGAAAATGTGCAAGGTCAGCTCTTCATTTAGCTGTTGTATATGGTAATGTTGAGTATTCATTTTCGCTGAATAAAAAAGATTGGTTTGATCTTTTTCATCGATTTGAATTATTTTTCAGGTCACAAGGATGTCGTTGAATTGCTCATTAAATATAATGCTAATGTTAATTTGGAAGATGTTTATGGTCGAACACCTATTTATTATGCTATTTATAATGGTATGCTATTTACAATGGTAATGCAGGATGTTAATTTTCAATATATTCACAGAGAACTAAAATTTGGTCCGCAAGAGGTCAAAGAAAGTGGTCAAACCCATAGAAAGACAAAAAATATTCGTGTTGTTAAAATAATGCAGTCAGTAAAATTGATCATCCACAAACTTCAAAGTCAATTCATCTCAGTGTTACCTTCACCGCCGCAAAGACAAAACAGATATTTTTTTGTCTTTTTCATGGATTGAACCGCATTCTTTGACCTTTCACGGACAAAATTTCAATTTTTACTTTTGTGTGAGTAAGAAATTGGTTTGATCTTTCGAACTGTATTATTTTTCAGGCCACAAGGATATCACCAAACTTCTAATGGACAATGGAGCCGTTCATCATTAAATCAAATGAAAATTGCACAATGCACACTCCAATGGATCAACGCAGTGAAGATGAGACATCAAATTCAAATAAAATGTGTGTTGAAGAAATCCAACGAAAGAATTTCTTACCGATTTTTTGTTTCTGTTTTATACATCCCAGATTATAATACTTATTTCCGTGTGTGTACACTGGAATCTCAGAATAGTTGAAAAGCTGTCCAAAGAAATATGATTCCATATATATATGTGTCGTTTTCAACGACTCGTTGAGAATAAAAATGGGATTCGCCGAAACCGCTCGTTTACATGTGAATCATTTTTGCGTTCCTGGTAAGAGATAGAAGACCGATGTCTTCTGCAATGTTTTAGAACATTTCAAGATCTTCATCTTTGCTTGAGATACTTGCCTCGACTACTCGTACCAGAAAAACAAAAATGATTCGCGAGAAAACACGCGGTTTCGGCTAAAATCCCATTTTTATCCTCAACGACACATATATCCTTGTATGAGCTAATATTGTAACCATTGGATGTTTCTTCAATATAAATCAACGCAACCATGGTACGTGAGCCTGAATGTAACACAATGGTATGAGTCATATCGTTTGATCGAACGCTTTCATATTTACATCATGTAAGCGACGATCCATCTGTTGTTATTTTTTAGCTTTGAGACGACTTTGAGACGGATCGCGTTTTGAGCATGCCGCGAAGATGTGAACATTTTCATATTCAAATAGCTACATCAAATAAACACCACTCAACATTTCAAGAGTGAAAAATATTTGATTAAATTTTCAATTCATTGCGATCGAATTGCGTTGTTTTTCAAACCATAGTGAAGGTGATAAAGGAATGAACGTAAACAACGTATTTTCGATTCGATCCATTTGATAAGGAACGCAAAATTATGTACATATGCACAGGTGGAATTGTAATTCCATCAATCGTTTGATTCATCATCAAATATTTTGTGAGCTTTGATTAGAATCATCATTGAGCGTGAAAAATGTCTATTCCACCTATTGGTATGGTCAACAATAGCATCGAATATAATTCGGTTGAGCTGAGCTCAAAGAAGGCAACCAAAGACACAATACCATCACAAAAGTTGTGTCGTTGGGGTCTGAGGAAAAAAATTTGTAAAATCATACAAGTATTTTGAACAGAAGCCATCAACTTCGTTCGCAAAGAACGGCAACAATACAGTGGTTACACCGAGACCTCCGGTACGTGAGCGTTTAGGCTACCATCCATAGGGGCTTCTAACTCTTCTTTGCGGTCGAAACAATGCTGGGACACTTCCTATTCAAAGAGCTCAAACGCAAAGTTCGCAACAAAGACGATAGCGCTCCCATCCACAAGAAACTCAATCATCTACAACGCGTCGCATGCATGTGTATGACTGGTGCAATGTGCACCACTCCATAAGCAGCGCTAGACGTGTTACTCAATTTGCCCAAACTGGAAGACTATATCGAAGCCGAGGCCATAAAAACGGACTGCTAGTGTCAAGTCACATAATACTAAACGCATCCATTCTTAAT